GTAGTCTTGCTCGCAGCAGTAGGCTTGCTCAAAGTTGCCCTCGACGGTGATGACCCCCTTCGGGCCGGGCATCTTGAGCTTCAGGTAGGTGTTGTTAGGGACAACCATGAACTTGGTGAAGCACGGTTGATCGAGGAGGGCGTGGTAGACACCGGGGAAGTCGACCACCTCGAAGATGAGTGGCTCCTTGCGGAAGTTGTCCAGCTAGCCAAAGATGACGTTGAGCTAGATGCGCCCGAGGGGCACGACTTCCTTTCTCGGCATGATCCCTTAGAATGGCACCTTGCTAGGGCGCAGACTGCTCCGAGGGATGACCATCTTGTCGAGGGTGCTAGCGTAGACTATGTTGAGGCCGCTACCCTCGTCCATCAGCACCTTGGTGAGGAGCGTGGTGCCCACGATCGGGCTAACCACGAGCGGGTAGCGCTAGGGATGAGGGACACGATCGGGGGTGATCTTCTTGGTCGAAGGTGATGGCCATCCGGGACCATTGGAGACACATCGAGGTGATGAGGGTGTGAACAGCGTTCACCTCCTGCTCGGTGATGCGTCGCTACCGGCGGGACTCATACGCCTAGGAGCCCCCGGAGATCATGAGGCAGTGCTCAGCCTCGAGGAACTCATTGTCTTCTTCTTGGGCGCCGCCTGCTAGGTTGTTGGCCTTCAGGGTAGGCTTCTAGGCCTTACCCTATTGGCCGAGGGTGCTATGGATGTAGCCAATCATGGTAGCACATTCCTTGAGGAGATGCTTCGCTTGCCCCCCATGGAAGGGGCAGGGGGCCTCGAGCGCCTTCTCAAAGTGCTTTGGGTGTGCGCCATGCCCGTGGGGCTAAGGTCTGGCGGTGTGGTCGACCACGGCCACCATCTCCTCCCCGTGGCGCTTTTGGTCCTTGTTCTGCTTGTCGTGGCGTCATTGGGATGAGGCGGGATCATCGCAGCCGTCGCCACCACTGAAGTGGCTGGCAGCCTTGGCTTTCTCACTGAAGTTTGCTAGGACCGCCTCCTCATCGATGGCATACTAGGTGGCGATGTCCAGGAGCTCCCGCATCATGTGTGGGGTCTCGCGGCCGAGCGCATGGATGAGCGCCTCGCTGGTCGTGCTTCAGATGAAGGCATTGATCACGTCAGCGTCGGTGATGTTGGGGAGCTCATTGCGCTTCTTGGAGAAGCACTGAATGTACTCCCAAAGGGTCTCGTCGGCCCTCTGCCTGTAGTTGCAGAGATCCTAGGAGTTCCCTGGGCGGGTGTAGGTACCCTAGAAGTGGCCGATGAAGACAAAATGGAGATCGCCCTAGTAGCGGATGCTACCGGGCTCGAGCTGCTCAAGCCAAGCTCCGGTCGAGCTTGACAGGAGCAGGGAAAGGTATTGGATGGTGAAGTCATTGTCTGGCCCTCCATCCTTCATGGCTAGGCGGTAGTCCTCTAGCCAATGGTCCAAGTTGGTCTCGCCGTCGTACTTGGAGATGTGCATCGGTGGTCGGAATCACCTAGGGTAGGGAGCCACCTGGATCGCTGCCTCGAACGCTAGGGGGTCGAAGTGATCTAGGGCAGCGCCCTTGCCTCACTGCTCAGTGGTGCGGGACTGCACCTGAGCATGGCATCTAGCCTCGATGGTGTCGTGGACGTCGCCGATCCAGTGGCACACAGGGAGGCATCGAGGAGAAAGGTCATGCCTTCACTCCTGCCAAGGCTTGGCACCCTAGGTCCATGACCGATCAGAGCTATTGCTGGTGGTGTTGCCACTACTTTCTCCCATCAGTGGAGCGTGAGCATCGGAGCGGTCCCAGTTGGTGGTGGCCATCATCTGGGATAGCCGGGAGAGCGCGGCGTGGCGCCGGGAGGCTCAACTCTTGGCCTACTGCTCGAGGGCGACGTGGAGGAGCTACTTCGCCTCGTGCAGCCGCTCGTCGGTCTTTAGGTCCTGCGTGTCAGAGATGTCTTCTAGGCGGCAGGCGGCGGCTGCCATGTTGTATGCCGCGCGAGGAAAGCGTAGGCCGCTGGGTGCCCTGTGCGAGCGTTGTCGTCGTCACCGAGAGGGTGCATGGCTTGTTGCCACGCAAAGTTTTGCCTTTGGCGCTCATCAAGCTCTGCCTCGGTGGCCTCCAAGTCTACCTGCCGAGCTCACAAGTGGTCCGCCTTCTCCTGAAGGTAGGCCACGTGGATGTAGGGAGTCTTGTCCAGTGGCGTGAGCCCGGGTGCCTCCTCGGTAGGATCCTCGCCGTCGATGTGGTAGCACATGCGCGGTGGGGCATTGTAGTCAATGTCGTCGGAGTTGTACTCCAGGCTGTTTCCCAAGAGGATCTCGAGGAAGGCGCAAAGCGAGGGGACGTCGGTCCCTGCTGCACCGGAGAGGATGACACTCCATGGCGCCTTGCGGCTGATGAGGTGCTCTAGCTCTAGTTGGAAGGATGTCGCCACGTTCTGTATCTAGAAGCGGTTAGGCGGTGGGAGCATCTCACCAGTGGCGATCTGGTGGTGAACGTTGGCCAGCATTTAGAACATCTGGCGATGGTTCGACACGGTGGGGTTCAGGCCCAGACCGCACCGGATCTGGTGGGCCAGAACCTTGAGATCTACCCCCAAAAGTCCTAGCAGAGGGGGCGACGCCGGGGGCTCGTTGCCCACCGGCGCAGCCTTGTGGAGTGGACAAAGTTCGTCGTAGCAGTCGGCGACGTAGGCCAGGCTCCCAAAGTTGAGGACATAGTCCAGAGCGAAGGCGCCAGCCATGACGGAGAACTCGGCAGGGAACCAGACACCGCCGTCTGGGGCAGTGCCGCTTGCTCCTGTGACGAGGTGGGTGGCTCCAGCCACAGTAGAGCCAGAATCGCACTTGACGCTACCCCCTACCTGGTGCGCCAGATGTCACGGGGTCGAAACCGTAGCAAACATTGTTGTTCGAGTCGGTGCCAGAGTACGGGTCTCTGGTGGCTCGAGTGGACTTAGGAACACAAGAATCACGCAGAGAAGACGTAACGGTTTATCCTAGTTTGGGCCAATTCGGTCCCTACGTCCAACAGCTGATGATCCTTATACTCAAGAGCACCCAAAATCAGGGGGTTACAACAGAGTGTAGAGAGAGATTTGGTAGGGAGGTTAGCTCGGTGCTAATCCTAAGGTTGTCTTGCCGTCGGTGGAGCCTCCCCCCTCATCAGAGAGGAGGAAGATGACGTGATGCCGAGGAGGAGCTCTCGGTGCCCCTCTCCGCGTTGCCTTGCTACCTGTGCGGAGCGGAGGCGGATGGAATGGAATAGAGTGTCTGGTGATCGATCTAGTGATCACCACGGAGCCCCCCGAGCATCGGTAGCCCGGGGCTTGTCTTCTTGCTCCCGGGCCTTCGCTGGCGTCGTTAGCCAGGCAGGAGCCAAGGGTCGGGCCTGGATGTGTCGTAGATCGGGTGCCTGGGGCTTGGGCGAGCCCCCGAGCCCCAAGCGGCGGTCGTGGCCAAGTCGGGCTTGGCCAGGTCTCTTTGCCAGAGGGTGTGCGCGAGCGTGCCCGATGGGCATAGCACCCGAGCCCCCGGCGATCCTAAAGGGGTCGGTCGGGGGGTCTTCTTCAATCGGGAACCATTGGACCCGAGGCTTAATATACTCATATGTTAGGATCTCATCAGCAGGCTCAGTACCTCCCCTAGGGTGGTTAGAGTTTGAGTCATGAGGGACTCACTCTTTATTTGTGGTATCGGCCGCAGCGACAGGGGAAAAAACTCCCTCATCTGCCACGCATCCAAAGCACAGGTTTATGGCCAGTTCATCTCGCGGAGCTGCGGTGCCGCTGTGTATGGGTGGGGCAGAAGTTTGGGGGTTTTCTCGATCTACGTGAGAAAATCTTCTTCATTAGCCGAAATACCCGGGGCTGTCTAGCCACCGCGGATCGAGTTTTTTATTCATTGACAGCCTTTCGGAGAAAACCATAAAAGGCACACGCATCTATCAGCTGATGATTGACAGGAGAAGACCATCATTTTGGCACTAATATGTTATGAATTTAGGAGAAGACCATCGTTCAGGCACTAATATGTTCTGAATTTCCAATGAATGTTTATATTATCTCCAAAGAACAATTTCAAGTGTAAGAATAAAAAATGATGAACAGCTTGCTCAGCTTAGATGAACTGTTCAATTTTATGTGTTGGATGCTCATGAAAATTGACAGCATAATGGGAATAGGAAAAAAGAAACCACACCTGCTATTGTTTGGTAGAACTCTTCGGTCTTATGCTTGCTCTCAGCACACAATTGAAATAGAACATAGCTAATTTCTTTCACAAAGGGCATATACCCAAATCATCGTTAAGTCCAAGATGAGTCAATATTAAAACTGCAATTTTGTAAATCAAATAAAACATAATCTGGATTTTTCAATTAGATCTTCAGCAATGACATTACAAAAACCAACACTCTTGTGCCATTCAAAGATTGTACAATATTCAGATATCTTGCTTCTCTGCACTAAGCATATCCATGCAATAATCCCTGCTTAATCGAACGATTCAGAGATGCCTCATGCCATTCAATCTTATTGACCAGTAGTCCATAAGATTGTATATTTCCATGACAAATCTATTTAGATATACAAATATTTATACTGTTTTTTATAAATCTAGTTACGTCACCATTGAGCGTGTCACTATTGTGTACTTTTTGCATAGAAGTAACAGTTACCGTTCATATGCCCGCTTTTACATAGAGTAACAGTTACCGTTCATATGCCCGCAGAAGTTATAAAAGCAACACCTGACCCCTGCTTAGTAGGCAGGTGCGAACCACAAATAAGGGGGTGTTTGGGACTGCTCCACAAATTCTGCTCCACAAACTCCACCGTGGAGCAGCTCCACAAAAAACTGGAGTTTGTGGAGTACCTCTTTAGGTGCTCTCACAACTCCACCCTTTTTTATGGAGCAGAGTGCGTGGAGCTGAAACCGTTTGGCTAAAACACGTGGAGCGGAGCTGAAAAACGTGGAGCGGAGCAGTCCCAAACACGCCCTAATTCGGCTACACGAGATGGAGGCCACCGCCCTGAGCTTGGCGAGGTCCGTTCTGGACGGCGTCATAAGCAGCGCCGGTTCTGCGATCGCCGATGAGATCGCGCGCCTCATCGGGGTCCCCAAGGAGGTAGACTTCATCCGCAACGAGCTGGCGATGATGCAGGCCTTCCTCAAGGTGGCATCGGCCCATCCCGAGGCCACGGTGCGCAACGACATCATGAAGACTTGGGTGAAGCAGGTGCGCGACCTCGCGTACGACGTCGAGGACTGCTCGACTTCGCGCTCTACGCGGTCAGGACCTCCTCGTCGCGGGCCGGCACCTGGCTCCCCGGCGCCATCGCCGAGCGACACCGGATCGCGCAACTGATACCAGCGATACCACATCGTCTTCGACAATCCGGCGGCCCGCGTCGAGGAACAGCCCGTGCTCCCCGACTACGACATGCGCTCGGACGAGCTCGCGTTCCAGGTGTCAGAAATCATCGGCCGCGAGGAAGAGAAGCAGGCGCTGATCGAGCAGATCTCTGGCGGAAACGCCGAGCTGAGAGGGCTGAGACTGGTGTCCGTGTGGGGGATGGGCGGCATGGGTAAGTCCTCGTTGGTGCGCATGGTGCACAACGACGCGGCCCTCCTCGACGAGTTCGACTGTGGCGCGTGGGTCACCGTGCCGCACCCGCTCGACAACCCCGACGTGTTCGCGCAGCGGCAGAAGAGGGAGCTCGGCGTAGCGGAGCTGGGGGAGTACCTCCGGGTGAAACGGTACCGGGTCATAGTAGACGACCTACTTAGCCAGGAGTGGGAGAGCACGTATGGAAGGTTTTTCAAACCGGCAACAAGGAGGGAAGCCTTATCATCGTGACGACGCGCCGGGAGGACGTCGCTCGGCACTGCGCGGGCTATGCTGCGGAGGGGCATGGGCATGTCTACGAGCTGGAGCAACTAGGGGATGTGGAATCCATGGATCTCCTGTGTCGGAAGGTACGCTGTGTCTTATACTTGGCACCCTTTTCTTATGGAAGTGTGTAATTTTTATTTTTACCGATTAATTTGCGCGAGCGTCCATTTCATAGGAGTATGCTGTGGGCGTCTGCGTCGTTGGTACTGTGTAATTCGCAAAAAAAATTCTTTATTTATTATTTTCTAACACAATAGCTATATAAACACTAGAGAATTTTTAAGGTGCTTAGAGATAATAAGAGTCGTCCATTCAGATAGATCTAATGGTTTAAAATTAGGAGAAACCAATTCAGAAGAACTTAAGTCGTGGACCGGAACCTAAAATCAATGGGCCAGGAACCAGCGTTAAGTTAAATTCATTGGATACAATAGTAATTTCATGGGTGTGGGGCTTTTCTAGCATGGCGGCCGGCGAACCAACATCGCCTGTGATGCCTAATCCACCCCTACCGGTGCTCACCCGTCCATCTTCTGCGGTTCTGCCGCATGCGACAAGAGCACGAGCCACGGAGCCAGCGTAGCGGGCCAAATGGCGGCTACACTTTGCCCTGGGAGGCGGCGAAGCAGGAGGCGTGGAGTATGGGTAGGAGGATAGGTGGGCGCGCCTGACGCCGAAGCTCGGAGCTGCTCCCGGTGGTGGCGAGGCGTGTGGAGGCGCCCGACGAGGAGCGGTGGCTGGCGCAGAAGAACGTGGTGTCATGCCACGGCCGTGCACTGGCGAGCCCGTTCACCTGTAAGAAAGGCGTGTCGAGGTTGGCGAGATCACGAGCTCTGTTGAATTTCTCCGGAGGCTGTATACGCAGCGAGTGTTGGCGTGGGAGCGGCAGTGGCGGGCGGACGGTCGGCAGCGCAGCACGGCGGGTGGCACTGCGAGGCACGCGCGGACGATATGCGGCTGGCGTGGTGATGCCAGTGAGGGTGGAATTGAATCTGCGACGTCGTCGTGAATCCGCTTCACCATCGATGAGGCTACCTTCAGCCGCCTCACACGCTCGTCGTGCTCCAGATGACGTTGAGGACTAGGAAGCCGGTGATGGCGAGGCGCGCCCGCACCCGTACTGCAAGCCCACGTGGACAGTGGTGACCCAGCCACCCAGGGAGGCGGTGGCAGCCACCAGGTGCAGGTGGGGGCCGCGATACAGGGAGATGGAAAGAACCGCGATACAGGGAGACGGAAAGAACCATGACACTTAGAGACTGAAGTACTAAATCACCCTTAATGATAATTAATTATTATTTTTCATAATCAACAGCTGGCAATTTTTGTTTAGGGAGGAACCCCCAAGCACAGTAACAAGTCTTCAAACACTATCATCTCAATCCAGTTAATTACTAGTCTATATGTTTTTCGCTTTGCATGGCACCTCTGAATCTTCAATATGCATTTAGTTGAAACCTTGGCTTAAATTATAGCAAATCTCATTGCAACCCACTACCCATATCTCGTGGCATCATATGAATCTAGAATTTGATGTTATTAGTTGCTACATATTTTTTTTTCTCAAGTTAGCTTAAGTCTTAGGCTATACTCTTAGTAACTACAATGTCATAAACAATTGTTTTAGCCTGCACCATGACACTCAAGGTGTTTAAGTTATATCAAAGGATTATATTTATAAAACAAACCACATATCAATAACACTGTCAATTCACTTAAAATTATATTAATACTCCATGGCAATAAATTTTTAAGGTGTTGTTAAATAAGTTTGCACATTTTGAGTAAAACATTATGTCATATTAGTACTAAAGTAATTTAATTGTAAGCCTAGTGAGTTGGGCCTCAAAGCACGGATTAAGGCCCGAACCATAGGAGGCAACGTCCCCGTGTATAAGGGTGCCAAACTTTCGTGACCTTTCTCGGCCGGGCCGGTTGAGCTCTTCTTAGTGAAATAGCGTGGCAACAGTCTTTTTCCCTCTGACTGTTTTTTTTAAATTAATCTATATTTCATAATAACATAGGTGGACAATTTAGATACAAATTTAGAGGATTACTTTATGTATTTTTTATAATGACATAGGTGGGTGTTTTTTATATAAAATATAATAGATTCAATGGCTATTATTATCGATAATGATTAAAGTCTACCAAATTAAAGGCCCAATGTTTCTTATTATTATAGGAATTTTTAGGATTTATCTTTTTTGTAGTGTATTTGGTGAGGATTGATGCGAGACTCCGCTAGGGCCTCTAGTTAGTAATAGTAAGATATATAAGGGTATGATGGGATGCGATAAATATTATAAAAGTATGAAAAGTTTTCTATCACATCCAAACATGCTAGATTATGCATCAGATTATAAAGCCTACCAACCAGGATCCTTACCCTATAATCCAGCTCAACCTAGTTAAAAGAAGAAAATTAATCAAAAAGATGACTTTGTCCCCACACCTTATTATACTTCTATCGCAAAGCATGGGTGTTATCAACAACTCATATTCCAACTGCCTATATAATCTAGTGATCCAAACAATTTCTAGATTGATTTTTCACTATCTTGATTGTATAATCCATTGCCACATAATCCTGATCCTTATAATCTCTATCTTATTATCAAAACATGCCATAAATTGAAAAGCTCATATCGTATTGCAATTATAATGTAGGTTAATCCCTCCATCTACATGCATAAGTGTCCTATAAGTCAAGCTGTCCCTAATTTCAACAAGTTTATGGAGAAGAGTATTATTATATATCAAGACTAAAGAATTGGATGACACTCACTTGGTATCATAAATACTATATCCTTCTTTATACACTTTGTCAAACTTAAAATATATAGTTTGACTTTGACAAACTTAGACATGTTTATATTTGTATATGATGGAGTATGTAGGTGTGTTTTAGGTAATTGGGAGGTAAAATATGTTGTAGTGTCTTTCCCGAGCCGCATCTGTGCTCATTAATTAGAGATGCACGACTTTTATATGCACACCTAGAGCCATGATCATTAGTGCAAGATACACACCTTTATATAAGCAGCTAGACTCCAATAAGCACTTTTTGTTTTTTAGTACGTAGTCCATCGACCTATACTTTTACATGGGCTAATTGATTCCATAGACACAAATGTGTCAAGTTTGTAAATGTTGACCTACAGGTAGTCGGCCTCATTTGTTCACATTTTAAAAATATAATCATATAATTAAACACTTTGTAATATTTATGTGGTTGCGATGGACTATAATTATTTGCTCTATATTGTTTTCCATCTTCATTTATTGTTTCTCTCTTTTACATGGCACCTCCATGTGTATTTGACATGCGTTTACTTAAATTCTTAGCTTACCCTATGTGTTTGGCTTGATAATTGCTACTGTATGTTCGTAAGGTCCAACATACATGTATACATTGTTTGCATGGCATCATGGATGCATGTATACCTTGATTTAGTTTCTCCATACATTCAACAGTAGAAATGGGTAATTTAGAAGCATATTTATTGTCTTCAGGATTATTTTTTAATGAGAGTAGTAATACAGATGCATTTTAAAGGGTTACTTTAGGTTACATTCCCTTTGTTCCATGATGTAGGTTATTGTTTTTTGTTTTGTCATAAAATCAAATGACTTCTCTAAGTTTGATCAAATTTATAGAAACTATATTAATATCTATAATAGCAAACACATTCACTGCCAAGGTATATATCGTGCATGACAGATCTAGTCAGAACTATTTTTTTTGCGACCAAAGAAGAATTTTATTAGATAAAAACTGGGTACATAAACAAGTTACAAGCACTCTGGGATGCACAACATATATCCATAAATTGATTTTCATCTAAATTATACCAATGCTGTGAATAGCTCTAAATCTCCAAACCAAACCTCTATGACACTTCTTATGGATTGACCGCATGGGCAAACACTCGGCAAAAGGCCTAAGAATAGATGCCCAACGAACGACGACCAACATTCCTACACGCGGAATTGAGAAACTTGTTTTTTTTGTCTTCCTTCTTCTTCTTTCTGCCACCGAAAAATGAGGAAGACTGATCTAAAACTTATTCTCCCTAGTCCTTCATCGTGGCCAGATCTAACCACAAGAAAATGGAGAAGAGACTGAAGAAAATTATGCCATGGCGACGACATCATCTCTGCCTTGATGTCACTGTTCGGAAAGAAAAGTCTCCATGTCGTCATGCAGGTAAAGTTACTGACATCGTAGTTGTCGCCCTCATCTTCAATAGAGCCGCCATGGAGAAAACAATTCCACCCTGCTCCCTCGCCGTCGCCGAAGAGAAGGAGGAGATAAATTCCCAATACCAAGAAATTTGGCATGAAGAGACCATAACCCCAAGGACTCGATTTACTAGAAAACTTATTAAAAACAATGGATCCCCACTCCCTCACGTCTCCGCGCGAGATGCTAGAGGGGAAGGGAGTGGGACCAGCGGTGGTGGACGATGGCGGCGGCGGCGGCGGCTCTTAGCGCAAAGGAGTTGCCAATTCAGGCGACCTGCGATAGGGCGAGTCAAGCGGCACAGAAAGCTGGACAGTCTCATCTAGTCGAAACTATTTTGCTGTCATAGATATTGGATCATTTTTCTATAAATTTAGTCAAAGTTAGAGAAGTTTGACTTATAACAATTTTTTTAAAAAAATAAACTTTAGGATAAGGGAGTATTTAATAATTATAGTACAAGTGATTTAGATGGAAATTTAGCTAATAGTTTAGATTATTTCTTATAGTGGCATAGGTGAGTAAGTTAGATGAAGATAAGAGGTTACTTTGGTTTATTTTTCATACTGGCACATATGGTAATTTAGACATGGATTTAGGGGACATTTGTATGTTTTTTTTTGTAATGTTAGGGGTGGTAGCTTTTTAGAAAATAGAATAGAACTAATTGGTACTAATATAGGTTACAAGTCGCTCCAATCTAACTCCATTATGGAGC